CAGTAACATATAGTTCGAGCTCTATTTAAAATGAATTAAACAAAAAAAACATTCATGTAGCAAATAAACATAATTGATAACTAAATCTTTAAAATAGGATGTCTATGGCAATGAACTAAAATTACTTGTTAAAATTATAAATTCTCGTCCAGCAAATGAGGCACAACCACGCATCGAACCACCACGCTCCAACAGGACCCAATCTAACATGTGAGGTGTAGGAAAAGGGTGAGTACATGGGAATACTCAGTAGGATATTACATTAATGGTGCGATCCCAAAAAATAATTTTAACACAAGTGTCAGAATAACATACCGTCGCATAACTTTAAATCCGGTAAGAGCTCACATCATATCATATCATATCATTTCATTTCATTGTACCGGAATGGCCATATCATTCATATCATAGCATTAATATCGTAACTTTCATAAATATGAAATTCGTCCACATGTAGCCAAAATAATTAAACGGGAAATTAAAAAAAAAATACTGCACCTCATATCCTACCTTGTTAAACTGCTTAAATTTTGGAAGTCAAAACAAAGTTCACGCTCCAACAATTTCTTGGAATAAGAAAACCCAAAATCACGTTGCAACTATCTTTTGTTTTCTTTCTGCCTTATCATGCAATAATATTACAGTGAAGTGAATGAAAGCTATTGTTTTCATATGATCTAATAAAAATATCTATATAAAAAAAATGAGGAAACGTGTGGGAGTGGAGAAAGAGATATGGATCAAAATAGTTGAAACAGAATCTTGACCCAAATCTTGCCAACTGCCCACAATTTAAAAAAATAAGTTATATCTTACACGTGGCAGTGCATCATATATATACAAGGGAATTTGTTTTAACCATTAGGAACGTGGCTTCCCATAATTCTCTCTCTCTCTCTCTCTCTCTCTCTCTACTTTATTTCATTTAATAAACAAATCAATTATCACTTACCTACCACCTACTTAGAATCTTACTTCACGTGAGACCTCCCAATGCAAAACACACTTAATAAAATATTATTATTAATAATAAAACAATAAAATATCTCAACAACTTTCATTTCTCTCTCCACGTAAATTCTTCCAAACAAAAGTAATAAAAATAATATTTTAATGTTATATCTTCCGGCTTCGATAACTTGGGCTCGACTAACCCAAATTAATTTTTTCTCGAGTCTAAAATGCGTCTTTAATTATTATCTATCCAACGAGCCCAATATCCGTATACTTATCATCGTCCCGTCAATATTTATATTTTAATCTAAATATTATTAAAGTTTACTTTATATACACTTTAGTCCCTAAACTTTCAAAACATTAAAAATATAGCATAAATAAAATTAAATTATATTCTATAAAATTTCGGGATATTATAACTTCAATTGAATGGATCGATAAATTTCGGTTAGAAGCCAACGAGAATGCAAAGTTGTGTAGGAGGCGAACCAAAAAAGTGGCATGATATGCATATCCAAAGAAGAAAGTTTGAAGTTGGGCAACAAGTCTTACTACACAATTTACAACTCAAGCTTTTTCTCGACAAGTTGAGGCCAAGGAGGTCGGGACTATATGCTATAACTCAAGTTTTTCCAAATGAGATTGTTGAAATCACTCATGAATGCAAATGAACAGTTAAAGTTAATGGACAGCAAAAGCCATATTGGAGTAGTGGATTCTCAAAAGAAAAATCCACTGTTCATCTTACAACATAGGAGTAAATTTCCTAAAAGTCGAGCTTTATACTATAAATCAAGTGCTTAATGGGAGGCATCTCATTTTCCATCCATTTCACTTATTTTGATTAACTATTACATTACGCGTATTTTTAGGAATTGCAATAGTATTTTAGGACCATATTCAGGAACTCATGCATTTAAGTGATTTTTAACACATTTTTTTTTATAGTATTTTAAGACATGGATTAGTATCTTAGGCATGTTTACTTATTAAGTTCATTTTACTTAGGCTCATTGTTAACATCTTACATTGTATTGAACTTACATTGATGTGGTATGCATTGTTCATATTGCACCTAGATTTCAATCTCTAAACCAATTTGAAAGACTTATATTTTCCGAGCTATAGACTTTTTGCAGGGATATGTGCTCTATTAGATAGTTAGTCTAAAAATTTGAAGATTAGAATTCTTCCTGGTTTGAGTTGCAAATATCTAAACCTTATTTGCTATCACTAATATTTATTTTGAATTCTTGAAAAAGAAAATTGAAACCTAACAACAAGGAAAAGTGGTAGCTGTTATGAATTCTACTAGCCGAACCTGGTCCTTTTACCTATTCAGCTCTACCTTTCAGAAGATTCTGATCCTTATTCCTTTATTTTTCTTATTTTTGCTTTTAGGATACTTAGAATATATATTTGTTTTTCAAGTGCAAATTGGGTCTGTATGACTGTTTAATAAAAAATAAAATGGAAAATTTTGAATTGAAGAAAAACTCCAAAAGAATAGTGTCTAGTTTAGAGTCGAATGACTTATCGCCTATGACGATATTTATTTGTTTTAATTGAGTACAACTTTAGTTAGAATTAGACAACGTCATATCTTATACTTTTGCTTGAGTACTTATCCATGTTAGACTTGAGTATATAGCAGTTATTGACTTATGACTTATGTTGGGACATGACTAGATTATGTGGATTTAATTGTTGATATTACTGACATAGGTTTGAGTTGAATTACTAAATCATTAATATAGAAACCAAACTGTTGAAAAAGTAGCTTGGGGTGGGAAGACTATTACTTGTATTTTAGAAGTTTCGTGGTTTGGAGTTCTCAAATATTTGCATTGGTTGAAGGAGTTTGAGTTAAGGAGTCTAGAACGGGAACTAACTATTTTTAAAATTTGAATCCATATTAAAAAAAAAAAATGTGATACATCCTGTACTTTTCTTGGTTAAACTTTCATGATTTGAGTGATTAAGCTTGCAAGGTATCTAAACAATCGATGCCCTATAGACTTGGGAGTCATCGGCCTAAAACCCACTACATTAGTCATTTAGAAAGTTTAATGGAGATAGGTCTAGCACATAAGATATAAAATGAAAAAAAGAAAGTATGATACATCCTATAATTCCCTTCGTAGCTTTTATGACTCGAGTAATTAAGCTTTAAGGGTATCTAAAAGTCTAGTGCCATGTAGTCATCAGACTCGGGAGTCATCGACTTAAAACTCACTACAGGGGTCAATTAGAAAGCTTAATGGATAGAAGTCTTGCATTGGAGATGTTAAAAAAGGAAAGAAAAAAAGGGATTTAGATTATCAAAGCAAGATGTGCCCATTCAGGACTTTGAGATTTGAATTCTAGAAACTAGCAGCGTG